GAATGGAACCACCATTTGACCCAGCTATTCCCCTTTTCAGACTATACCCAAAAGACCTAAAAAGAGCATACTACAGGGATACAGCTACATCAATGTTCATAGCAGCACAATTCACAATAGCTAGACTGTGGAACCAACATAGATGCCCTTCAATAGATGAATAGATAAAAATGTGGCATTTATACACAATGTAATATTACTCAGCACTAAAAAATAACAAGATCATGGCATTTGCAGGGAATGGATGGCATTAGAGCAGATATATTCTAAGTGAAGTTAGCCATTCCCTAAAAAACAAATGCCGAATATTTTCTCTGATATAAGGGGGGATGACTCAAAATAGAGTAGGGAGGAAAAGCATGAGAAGAAGATTATCACTAAACAGGGAAGAGAGGTGGGAGGGAATGGGAGGGGGAAGGGGAATTGCACGGAAGATGGAAGGAGACACTCATTGTTATAAAAAATACATATATGATGGTGTGAGGGGGAAGAAAAAGAGAGAGAAATGTGTCACCAGTAGATTGGGTAGAGAGAGGTGATGGGAGGGGAGGGGAGGAGAGGAGAGATAGGAAGGGCAGCAGAATATAACAGACACTAGTATGGCTGTATGTTTAAACGTGGCTGTATAACCAATGTGAACCTGCAATCTGTACACGTGGAAAAATGAGAATTCATACCCCATTTGAATCAAATGTATGATATGTCAAGATCATTGTATTGTCATGAGCAACTAATAATAATAAAAAAAGAAATATTATCTCCTCTCTGTTTTGCCTTCATACCAGTGTAACTTTCAGTGTCAGGGTCTCTCAGCTCATCCTTATGAAATCATCAATTAGTGTTTGGGTTTTTTTTTCCTTTTTCCTGTACCAGGACTTATTGTTTTACTTATTTTTGTTAAAATTATGTTTCTGGGAAAAGGCTTTTCTTTAACAGCACTATATTACTGTTTTGGGAACTGGTGTTCCCTCTTTGTTTAGCTGGTAGCCGTTCACTTTGTGCTGGGAGCCATTCACTTTGTGAATAATTCCAATTCACTTTTCTTTATTAATGACACTACTTATGGCAGGCAGTACATGCTTTTTCCCCAAGGTTAAATGTCCCTATTGCTCAGTTCCAAGGCCTACCCTCCTGCCAAAGACTCTACTGGCCGTATTGCTTGGCTGGGGTTGATTCTGTTTCAGTTTGGTCATCTTCATCACTTTTACTGATGTAACCGCTACTACAGAACTTTTGTTTTCTGTTAAACCTAACATTTTCTCCTGAAGTCTAGTGTACCATGGTTAACTCTGCTCTGCTTGTCACACAGAGATAAGATTTGTCTTAAGTATTTTGTCTGCAAGAAGTTCTCAGGGAACAGAGAATGAGAGGATGAGCCTCTCAGGGTGTTTTCAGATCCCACTGACAAGGCAGCATCATTTCTCACTAGAGTAGGCCCTTAAATTGGGGTAGTTATAGTAGACTGCAGGGGTTGTGACATTGGGAGTGAGCCTGAGGTGAGACATACCATAGGATGGGTATTCTTATTTGCTTTCCTTTTATCTGAAACACAGCCACTTCTTCTGTGGTGAAGGTCTCTCTTCCAAGGTCTGATTCCTTTAGGGCCTTCTTGGTTAACTTCATGAAATTCGAAGAGCTGAATACAAATAAGCCTACCACTCTATGTTTATACTTCAAAGTTGTCTTTCAGATCATTGACAACCTCCTCCCTTACCTGTGGCTAAAGGAATAAAGGGGAAGATGGTGCTGCTTCTTTATTCATATTGGAAGTGAAAAGAGATTCCTGAACATTGAATGTTTTGAGGTAGCATGAATCCTAAAAGAACATCTAAATCAAATACATTTTTTGTGATCACACTGAAGCCCACAAAATTAAAGTGTTCTGCATAGGGTCTAATATATATTTAATGTCAAACCTCAAACTAGAACCCAAGACTCCCGAATTCAGTACTCTTTCCATTATTCTGGTATGAGATTATGGTTCCCAGACACTGAATGGTGTAACGAATCACATTGTCTAAACATTGTCAGTTGAGTAATGAGTCCTTAGATTTTTAGGGAAGTAACAAATACCAGGAGAGCTGGGCTTAGCACACATGGATTTCCATGGTTATATTTCTCTATACATTCTGCTGTTTACATGTTTTTCTTCTCACAGATTTTCAGTTTAGATCTTGGAGGCATATCAGCAGTGGTTCTAAATGGCTATGATGTAGTAAAGGAATGCCTTGTTCATCAGAGTGAAATTTTTGCAGACAGACCATGTCTTCCTTTATTCATGAAGATGACAAAAATGGGAGGTATGTTTATTTTCAACTATTTAGTGATCTACTAAACTATTTTAAATCACATTCCTTATTTTAAGTAATTTTAGTTACAGTTACAGCATACAGTTGGGATCCTTGTATTGGTAACAGGAAGGCATCTATAGACTTACTTACAGAACTTAGTTTTTGAACACCTTTCAGGTTATATTACCTAATATTTTAGACTACTAAATGCTAATTTTATTGTAGTCTAGATCTATTAAATATTATAAATAGTATTTTAAAGAATTAGTACTTAATAACATCTTCAGGTTTTATGAAACAAGTTAGGAGTACACTTGAATCAGAAGTGTCCTTTGATGCCAGGCTTGAATACTTGGTGACATTTTTACTACCTTTTTAAAAATAAGCTTACAAAACTTGAATCAGCCTTTCTTTGGGGGGATGGGGTGTACCAGGGATTGAACTCAGGGGCACTCAACCACTGAGCCACATCCTCAGCCCATTTTGTATTTTATTTAGACACAGGCTCTCACTGAGTTGCTTAGTGCCTTGCTTTTGCTGAGGCTAGCTTTAAACTCAGGATMCTCCCATCTTGGCCTTCAAAGCTGCTGGGATTCCAGGCTTGTGCTACCATGCCTAGGAGCCCTTTTTAACTACTACTCATTATGTTGTATAAATGGAGCATTGTGGGGTTTAAATAAAGGAGTGGTTTGCATAGTTTAAGGTTGAATAATGTTGTATGATTTTATATTCAACAAGAGAAAAAAGCTGAAAGTTGACAAAAATCAGTAAGAAAAAAAGCCTAAAATATAGAATGTTGAAATCAGATTCAGTGGTTTTAGTTGTATAAGAATGGTGTTATAGTCGTTGCCATTACAAAAAGACCCAACAAGAACAAGTTAGAGGAGGAAAAGTTTATTTGAGATTCATGTTTCAGAGGTCTCAGTTCATAAATGACCAACTCCATTCTCTGGACCCGAGGTGAGGCAGAACATCATGTCAGGAATGCATGGCAGAGGAATGTAGCTTGGGACAGGGCAATCAGGAAGAAGAGAGAGATATCTCTGATCACCAGGAGCAAAATTTAACCCGAGGGCACACCCCCAGAGACCTATCTCCACCAGCCACACCCTATTGCCTTCATTTATCACCCAATTAATTCCTATGAGGAGTTAATTCAATGATTGGGTTACAACTCTCATCATCTAATCATTTCACCTCTGAACCTTCTTGCATCATTCCACACATAAGCTTTTGGGGGACACCTCCTATCTAAACCGTACCAAAAAAGCTTCACACCTTCTTATTCTTTGTATGTGTATGTGTGAGAGAGAGATAACTGGGGATGAAACTCAGGTCTTTGCATATGCCAAGCAAGTGCTCTACCACCAAGCTATATCCCCAGCCCCCACTTATTTTCAAAAGAAAATTTAACAGTACCTTGCTTTAGATAGCCTAAGAGGCATTGAAAAGAAGAAAATAACTTATACTAAATTTATACTAAATCACAAAATAAAGCAACTAATGCAAAGAAAGTACACATTTTAAAGACCAAATTCACAAGCTAGAGTATGATACTTGAAAGCAATAAATAAATAAAAAGCAAATCTCTAACCTCTTAAGTATTCTTACAAATATCAAAGAGGCCAAAGAATAAACCACAATATAATAATAGAAAACCTTTAAAGAAATTATRAAAATGAAAGATGATGTGATTGGAGTAATATTTAAAACAAACACATATTTTTCAAAGTTATAATTTATAGTTTAAGCTGTTTTTATCATGAAGATAAAATGAGTGTTAAAATTAATATTTTCATTAATAGTAAGAGAAAAAATAAGTAAATAATGATATATGTTGTTTTAAGGTACATATGCACTGATTTTGGAATTGGAAATTCATGGCCACTATTAACCCATTGCATGAATGGGAAAAAGCTGCCCCTTGGGTGGGCCTAGCACTGTGCCCAGGCACACAGCTTGGCCAACATAGGGTTATTATGAACAGTGTTCCTTTCTCCCCTTAAGTATAGTTAAAAAGAGCTGGGAGTAGTGGCACATGCCTGTAATCCCAAGAGCTTGGGAGGCTGAGACAGGAGGATTGAAAGTTCAAAGCCAGCGTCAGAAATTTAGTGAGGCCCTAAACAGTTTAGTGAGATCCTGTTTTAAGATAAAAAATAAATAAATAAGGCTGGGGGTGTAGTTCCTGGTTGAGTACCCCTGGATTTAATCCCTGGTATCCAAATATATGTATATGTGTTTGTGTTTGTGTTTGTGTGTGTGTGTGTATGTAAATTTTTTATTTTTATTTTTTTGTGCTATGGATTGTGTGTGTGTGTGTGTGTGTTTTGAGTGTACCCATACACATATACATACATAATTAAAAGAAAAAAACTTTTTGACGGTACCAGGCATTGTACCCAGGAGTTCTTTACCACCAAGCTACATCCCCAGCCCTATTTATTTTTTATTATTTATGTATTTATTTACTACTGAAGATTGAACTGAAGGGCACTTAACCACTGAGCCACTTCCCCGGCCCTTTTTATTTTTTATTTTGAGACAGAATCTTGCTAAATTGTCCAGGCAGACCTCAAACTTACAATCCTCTTGCCTCAACCTCCGGAGTTTCTTGGTTTATAGTCATTTGATACTGTACTTGGCTGATTAACTTTTTAATAAGCTCCAAATTTAAAAATTGTTGTGTAAAAGTTATTTAAATGTAAATTTTGTCTATGCCTCATGAATACAAGAGAACACAACAGTTTTCATTATAGGAACACCTGTGTCCCAGTAAATAATGGAATTGCAAGTAAAGTACTTGGTTTTTTATTTTTATTTTTTTGTGCTAGGGATTGAGCCCAAGGATGCCTTATCACTAAGTTACATCCCTTGTCATTTTTTTATTATTTTTTATTTTGAGGCAGGTTCTCACAAAGTTGCTGAGGAAAACTTTTGATCCTCTTGCCTTAGCCTCCTGAATCACAGTTCAAGTACATATTACATAATACATACACTGAAGATACTGGGCTTTTCCTTTGATAGTTCACTTAAAAAGGAAATTTTTCATACTTTTCACATAAGAACAACAGATATGTTGCGGAAATTTTAGAGTTTTGTGACAAACAATATCAGTATTAGAAAAGTCTGAGCTTTATGTTTGCCCTTTTTAAAATTTTTTTAATTCATTAATTTCTACTACATTGAGAACTGCAGACTGCACTTGACTGTGCCATTCTTACCTTTTTGGGTACCATATGACTTTAATATAAAGAAGAAAATTTGTACTCTAAATTTTATTCTCCTAAACAGAAAATTTCTAATCCTAGAAGAATGATTTTTAGGTGTTTCTTTAATCCAAGACAAAATTTTACCCATAGAATATGTAATATTTGTCTTTTGTATGTTAGACTTACAGCAAAAGTTGAATGATAAAAGTTACCTGGACCTTGTTCACCAAAGTCAAATTACACTGACAGAAAGAATTATAGTTCTTTTCTTCTAGTACCCAGATAAGGAAAAAAGAAGTTTTTTATTTGTTTGTACTGTAGATTGAACCCATGAGTGCTTTACCACTGAGCTACATCCACAGCCCTTTTTTAAATATTTTTATTTTTATACAGGGTCTCTTTAAGTTTCTTAGGGCCACACTAAGTTGCTAAGGCTAGCCTTGAACTTGTGATCCTCCTGCCTCAGCTTCCCAAGTCACTGGGATTACAGGTGTTCATCACTTGGCCTGATGAGAAGTTTTATCTGATATAATATCCTATGACTAATGAGTAACAGAACAGGACCCAACAAGCAGTTATATAGAAAGATAATTTGCAGGAAAACAACTCTCTGTTTTTAAGATTTGTTTTCTTCAACTTTTAAAATTTCTTTTTATTCAATAGGATTTTTACCTGTTATAGAGAAGGAGGAATTATACAAGATTTTAAATTTTCTTTTCAGGCTTACTCAATGCCAGATATGGCCGAGGATGGGTTGATCACAGAAGATTAGCTGTTAACAGCTTTCGCTATTTTGGATATGGCCAAAAGTCTTTTGAATCTAAAATCTTAGAAGAAGCCAAATTTTTCATTGATGTTATTGAGACATACAAAGGTCGACCTTTTGACTTTAAGCAGTTAATAACAAATGCTGTTTCGAACATAACTAATCTGATCATTTTTGGAGAACGATTCACTTATGAAGACACTGATTTTCAGCACATGATTGAGTTATTCAGTGAAAATGTGGAGCTAGCTGCCAGTGCCTCAGTTTTCCTATATAATGCCTTTCCATGGATTGGCATCTTACCCTTTGGAAAACATCAACAGCTATTTAGAAATGCAGCTGTGGTCTATGATTTTCTCTCCAGACTTATTGAAAAAGCTTCCATCAACAGAAAGCCTCAGTCACCTCAGCATTTTGTTGATTCTTATTTAGATGAGATGGATCAAGGTAAAAATGACCCATTATCTACTTTCTCCAAAGAAAACCTAATTTTCTCAGTGGGTGAACTCATCATTGCTGGAACTGAAACAACAACCAATGTATTACGCTGGGCAGTTCTTCTTATGGCCCTTTATCCCAACATTCAAGGTGAGGATTCTTTTGATGATCTCAGGTAGGGATCATATATGTTTTAAGGTCTTTAACCATGTAGAAAGCATTTTTAAGAATTTATGCTAAGCTTGCCAAGATGACAATATTTCATAGTAATGAGGAGTTTTCAATTCTAGTATTAAAAAATAAAAAAAGCACCTCTAGGGCTGAGGTAGTGGCTCAGTATTAGAACTCTTGCCTGGCACATGTGAGGCACTGGGTTCAATTCTCAGCACCACATAAAAATAAATAAAGTAAAGGTATTGTGTCCATCTTAAGAAAATACTCTTAAAGTAAAAAGCAACTCTGAAATGGATCTTATTATGTCTGTTTTATGAATGAGGATGAGGGCTGAGTGTCTGGAAGTGACACAGCTGGGAACTGGACTCTGGTTTTTATCATTCAAGTTTTATGCTTTACTCAGGAAAATTCCTTACTGAAAATGATATTATCCCAATTCTAAGTTTATTTGATTTTTAAATTTTCTCTCCCATTTCTGGGGATTGAACCTGGAGGTGCTTTACCACTGAGCACAGGGTCTCAGTAATTTGTCCAGGCTGGCCTCGAACTTGGAATCTTTATGCCTCGGCCTCCTGAGTAGCTAAGATTACGGACATATTCTACTACATCCAGCTTAATTTTTGTCCTTAATCCTTGTAATATGTTGTTCATGACAAGTTACCCAGAGCATTGGCTACTGTTATAAGACATATGGCATGTATTTCAAACAAACTCCCAAATAATGAGAAATGAAAAATCTGAGTGTACCTGCCCTGTTGGATTAAAGAGATATTATTTTAGACATGATTCTAAGAATTGTATAATAACTTGAACACTGTTTCTCTGACAGGACAAGTTTGGAAAGAGATTGATTTAATTATGGGCCCTGACAGAAAACCTTCTTGGGATGACAAGTGCAAAATGCCTTATACTGAAGCGGTTTTGCATGAAGTTTTAAGACTCTGTAATATAGTTCCATTAGGGATTTTCCACGCAACCTCTGAAGATGCAGTTGTACGTGGTTATTCCATTCCTAAAGGCACAACAGTAATTACAAATCTTTATTCTGTACACTTTGATGAAAAATATTGGAAAGAGCCAGAAGTGTTCAATCCCGAGCGATTTCTGGACAGCAGTGGATATTTTATCAAAAAGGAAGCTTTGATTCCTTTCTCCTTAGGTAAGAGAAATTTTTCCCTAAGTAAGAGAATGTTAGAATAAAATATAACAATGACTCATCACATGTAACATTTTAATCTGAGCATCCTGCTCTAAAATTAAATATTCTAATTCTGAAACCATATTATTGATTCTTTTAGTAAAGAATTGTTTGATTATAGGTATTAATAATTTTTCTTTTTTTATTAGTTACACATGATAGTACAATGATCTTGACATATCATACATTTGAATCAAATGGGGTATAATTTCTCATTTTTCTGAGTGTACAGGTTGCAGAATCACATTGGTCATACATTCACGTGTATACATACAGCAATAATAGTGTCTATTTTATTCTGCTGTCCTTCCTACCCCCCCCTTTCCCTCTCCTCCCCTCCCATCACTTCTCTCTATCCAATCCAATGTGACACATTTCTTTTTTTTTCTCCTCACATCATCATACATGTATTCTGTATTAATACTTTTTCTACTCAAAATAAGCTATTATTTATTAACTAGAGTTAAAGTATTAAGAACCTCTGGATTCTCCTGGAATGTTTTTGTTTTTGCTTTTTTTTTTTTTTTTGACTTGTAATGAAACTTGTAGAGCTAGAAGTCAGTAACAGGTGGCTTTAGAAACTTGACAACTTGAAGTAAAACTATAATCTAACCTTTTTGCCTTCCAGTTTATTGTACTTCATCTCCAGTTAGGAAATATTGCTTTTGCTGTGAAAAAGGACACAGATCACAGACCCATGGAAGATAAACTAGAAATTCTTTCTCATTATTGAGAAAAGTACACATTTAGTTAGTTGAAGTAAAATGGACTTCTCTTGGATCTATAGACCAAAATGTCTCATCTCAAATTAAATCTTTCATAGCATATCTTAGGCTCTGTTGCAATGTGCAAAAGAAGTTGGAGATGAGACTAAAGTCTTCCAAAAGTCCATGATCTAACAAAAGGAGGTAAAGGAATAGTTTCTGTGTGCTGTGCTGCTAATTTCTATTCTTTGGGATTTAAGAGAATCATTTAATAAGTATAACTTCCTCTAACTTTCTTTAATTTCCAGATTTCCTGAATGTCATTCAAATATTAGACATTAATTTTGGTAAATGTAAATTTTTAATAGTCAGGCATGGGTGGCACATGCTTTAATCCCAGCAACTCAGGAGGCTGAAGCATGAGGATCACAAGTTTGAGGCCAGCCTCAGAAACTTGGTGAGACCCTGTCTCAAAATAAAAATTTTTAAAAACAGGCTGGGGATGTAGCTCAGTGGTAGAGTACCCCTGATTTAAATCCCAGTACCACAGATTCACATCCAAAAACCAACTAACCAAACAAACAAAAACATATTATATCTGCTTTTCCTGTTTAGGGAGAAGACATTGTCTTGGAGAACATCTGGCTCGGATGGAAATGTTCTTGTTTTTTACAGCGCTGCTCCAGCGGTTTCATTTGCATTTTCCATATGAAGTGGTTCCAGATCTGAAGCCTAGGTTAGGCATGACATTGCAGCCTCAGCCCTACCTTATCTGTGCCAAAAGACGCTGAAAGTTATAGATGTTTTGGGGAATAAGGATGTATGTTTCCTTACCCCTGAACCTTATTTAATCTAATCAGCGTGGTGTTTGGATAAGTCACAGTATCATAAAGTCAAATGAACACAGATGTGTCATTGAAAACAGCACTAGAGCAAAATTAAATATTAACAATGATATTTTTAAAGCTTCTATGACTTCTAAAGTTAAATTCTCTATTGAGGAGCACAAAGGTTCATAAGATGCTGAGGGCCATGGATGTCCTAAGTAGAGCCACTTATTTGGTGTAAGTTTTCTCTCATCCTTTCTTGACTCCACATGGTTTCTTACCTCATGAGAGCTTGGCCTCCAAATGCCAATTCCTTTTTGACCAAGTCCCAGTCGAGTTTAATAGAAGACTGTGGAATTAAAATGCAAATAAATGAATTTGGACTACAGTGGGGTATTTATATATGGTAGCAGATGATTGAAGAAATATAGATTTAATGTACAGTCTACCAGTTTTTCAAATCTTGCTTCTTGCTGTGTCTTCATAGAACTATGTCATTCTTCCTATTTGTGAAGGTCTCTGTGATCCCTGAACACCTGTCCTTACAGCTGCAGTCAATAAATTGGAATTGCAATATGTATTTAGAATAAAAAAGACACATGGATATTGATTCTTTGTAGGCATATTTTCCCTGATACCACTTTCTAAATCATTCCGTCTTTTAGAGGTCTGGAGGCATTTCCATGGGCTAGTGTTCTTTTTCTAATGAGGGTAATGTTCAAATCCAGAAACATGCTTTAGAGACAGGGTAATTGTGTAAATTAGGACACTTAAAAGTAATGGGATGTTATTAATAATCATGCCATATAGCTATTTTTATATTATCATTTTTTTTCTAAAGTTGTACATTAAGGGTTTCTGCTTTTGTAAGTTGGTTTATAAACAGTTGCTGCTACAGAGTAAGTGCACATAACAGTGACCACAATGGGGGTGAGGCAGGGAAAGGATGGAGGAACTTTGAGTTGGACAGAGGGGTGGAAGGGAAGGGGAGGGGCATGGGGTAGAAAAGATGGTAGAATGAGAAGGTCATCATTACCCTAGGTACATGTATGATTGTGTACAATGAGAGAAATGAAAAGTTGTGCTCCATTTGTGTACAATGAATCAAAGTGCATTCAACTGTCACATACAACTAATTAGAACAAATTTTAAAAAGAATATGGATTTAACCTTAGTTTTTCCTTATCTATTAAGTATTTTCAATTTTCTAGCTATAAATCAGGAGTCTGGGTATCTGATATATTAACATGTTTCTAGTTGCAAGGGAAAGAAATCATGTGCAAATTTGCTTAACTAGTAAAAAGAAATTTGGAGATGATGTGTGGAGTTTGGGGTTGGTGTGGCCTAGATGCTCCAAAGATTCTTTTTCTTCCCATCCCTCCATTTGCCTTCCTTATGATATCAGCTTTATCTTAAGCCTGGCTTATGGGAATACGTGGAGAGTTCTGGGAGATCAAGGGAGTTTTTCAGATACTTCCCTCAAACCATTCTTTGTCCTCCAGAGGTCGTTACAGAGTCACATACACATGCATTAACTTAAAACCATGTTTTGTGAGTGGGATTATAGTTCACGTGGGCTGAATGTGTACCTAACTACCAGAACTAGTGATAAATTTGGCTTTCTCCAAAGTGCATGTGCTACAGAGGATGGTATGGTTGTCTAAACAACAACAACAAAAAAAATGAGGGTAATCATGAAGAGAAGGGAACTAAGTCAGAAGATTAATTACAATACAGTATCTCCCTCACCTGCTTTCTGACCACTTGCTTTCCAGCTCACCTTTCTGAGTCTTACAAATGTATTATTCAAGAAGCCACTTCATCTTCATTCTTTCTTTGGAGTAGCTGCTCTCATATTTGGACCTTCTCCTTCCTATAATATTTCCTGTAAAAACCTAAGTTGAACTCTATTGTTTAGGGATGCTGGCAGCCTGGCAGTCACACTGAGCAAGGTAACTTTGTGAACTGATGTGGATTGTAATAAAAATTGAGAAGGTCATATTTACTTTTGAATGCTGCCGCTATTGCTTCTATGATTGGAAACTCTAGAATACTATTTTTCTTTCTTTTTTTTTTAACATGCCTAAGAAAATGTTTGTATTTTACCTTAATCAGGGTAATGTGAACCTTGCAAAAAATCATAAAAAATATAGATTTGTAAACTGTTAAAAGGTAGAAGAGCCACAATTTCAGTTAATTACATATTCAAACAGGGGCAGTGATTCCTCTTCTTTCGGGAGACAAATGCAGTATTTTCATCCTGTTTTTTTTACACCAAATAATTTGAATCCTGCTTTACAATTTATAAGGTTTTTCATTTACTGTCACCTCTTGATCATATGGAGGCAATTAACTGTGGTAAGAATATTGAACTTTTGAAAACATATAAGTTAAATATGAATTATGCAGGGATCCATAATAAAAAATATCTATTTTTTGGAATTACATAGTAACAATTTTTTATTGTTCATAAGAAGGCAGACATGGGAAAAAAGGCAGGATCCATAGATGTATAAGTATAAAGATTATCACTGACACAAAGCTAAAAACTTCCTAAATATCAGGAGAATTAAAACGACTTTTTAAAGAAAAAACCAAGTTAAAAGAAAAGAAAAGGCCAAGTAATATGAAGAATTAAGTTCTATCTATATAGTCACATGAATAAATGTAAATAAGCTTATTGCACCTAAAAAGGTTATTCATATTAGAATCCAAACTAAATTCAGTGCTTGATTATGTTGTGTAAAAGAGATACTTAAAACTTAGGTTAAAGGTTTAGGAAAAAATATACTTAGTTATTTTATTTTGAATATCATCAAAATTTTTGTAGAAATGTTCCTCTCATTATTAAAGTACTTATATAATGTAATTGGTCTACAAAGCTTAAAATATTTACTATCTGCCCATTTACAAAAAAAAAAAATGTTTGCTGACTCTTGAGTCAGATAAACCATTAGCTAGCCTGATTAATCAAGGAAAAGAGGGAGACAGCAGAACTACTCAAAATACAAAAAGACAGGGAGTAATAATCACAAAACAATTTCAATACTCATGAGAAACTGATTGATACTAGTCAATGAAAAGAAGTCTGAAGACCTGAGTAAAATGGATAATCTTCTAAGAAAAATATAATTTATCAAAATTATATAGGACATAGTGGATGCAAGATCTGACATTTGCATACTTGAAGAGCCAGAGAGGAAAAGAGAAAGAATGAGACAGAGGGTTGAGAATTTCCTAAATCTGATGAAAGACATCAAGCCAGATATTTCAGATGCCAGGAAATGCCATGCAGAATAAATAGGAAAAAACAATCAAAGAGATGAGACAATTGCTAACTGCACTTAAGGACAATGGCATGTTGGAAAACAAAGGCATGATATCATCAAGATACTGATATAAAATATTAACCTAGAATATTCTATGTGGCCTTAGTAACCTTCCTTAAAGAAGACAAAAGACATTATTAAGTTGGGAGGGAGGGAATTTGGATTGGGAAGGGACCCTAGGAGGGCTTCTAGCGGAGCCAGCGTGTTTGCTTTACAGTGCTATTTGCTCTATAAAATTTTGGTTTAGTGTGTATATTTTTTAATATGAGAATATGTCACAAATGTTAAATTTACTCATTGCACTCATTTTTATATGCAAATATTTCATTTGTAAATTATCTTCTAAAGCAGATGAGCCTCTATACTGAAGAATACTCAATAGTTTTTTTAACTCTCACAAGTATTATACATGGTAATGATCAATGAAAGTTTTAAGTATAAAAGTAATTTAAAACCAGGAGATATTTTTGTAAAATGTGAATTTTCAGCTGTTCTTGTTTGTTTCTCTGGTACTGAGTATTGAATCCAGGGGCACTCTACCGCTGAGCCACATCTGCAGTCCTTTTTATTTTTTATTTTGAGGCAGGGTCTTGCTGACTTGCCCAGGCTGGCCTTGAATTTTCGATCCTCCTGCCTCAGCCTCCCAAGTAGCTGACAGTACAGGCAAGAGTCAATGTGCACAGTGTTCTCAGCTTTTCTTGAAAAAACATGGAAGTCATGTCAATTTTGGACTGGCATTTTGAACAACTGGAGATAAGGCTTTTTTTTTTTTTTTTTTTTTTTACAAGATATATTTCTATGCTTCACACCATTTCCATTTCATTAATTGTTGCCTTCAGGTTCCTTATGAATATTACTTCTGCAAGTTAAATATCCTAAGTTTTGAATGCAATTTGGTTCTTATCACTGTCTCTGAATCTTTTAATTTACCAATATTTCTTTGAAAACATACCACCTGGCTGTTTCAGAATGGGGTGAATGCAGATTTTGCAGAATGCAATTTAAGACTTCCTTTGTCTTTTTTTTTTTAAACCTGACAACAGCTCCTAGAACTTTTATTCTTAGAGGTCTTATTAGACCCGCTCCACTTCATTTATCCTTTACTGATAGCAATTATTTGAACTTAATTGCAAGGAATCATATTTTTTCTTCTTGAATTTCTCCTTGATGGTGGATTGACTGTTGCTATCTTTTTGGATCTTTTGTGTCTTTCCTCAGGTGGATAATGTGGAAACCAGAGACCTAGACAAAACTTTAGAAACCAAATACACTCTTCACTGTTTTTCTGATTAAATTAATTGTGTTTTTAAATTAAATTAATTCACTGTTTTTCTGATAAATTAATCCGCTTAAGCTTTCCTTAAAAGAGTAAAGAACCCCCTACAGGGAATTTGGACTATGTATGAATCTCTTCAAGATAAAGTGAGTTCTGGGACCCTGAACTTGAGGGACCATTTCCAAACTAACATTGCTCATAGCTGAATTTGATGTTGTTTCATAAAAATAACAGTTCAAATTTGGATATTGAGAATATATGACAATAGTGCTAAACTTCCTAATAATTCTAAAATTTTTAGTAATTTTCCTTGAAGTTCACTAGAATTTTCTTATTAGACAATCATATCATCTACAAATGACAGTATTATTTCCTTTCCAGTTGTTTGGGCTCTTTTTACTACTCCTCTACTTAAAAATCTCCAGGACAGTGCTGATGAAAATTGATGATAGCAAATATTC